AACTTAAAAACTTAGTTTTTATGTACTTTCGGTATTTTGTTTTAGAATCGCTTAAGTCTGGAACCTTGCCGTAGGAGTAGTTCTGTCCTTATGCATTGAACCTAGTCTCGACTTCCTTTGTTTCAAAACTTATATGTGATTCTATTTGGTATTCGTGTTGCTTATGGTGTTGATTTGATTTTTCCTTGAATACCTTTGATCAGTCCAACATACATGTGAATACGTTCTTGAAAATCACTGAGGTGGTTTTATACTATGGCTCTATTCTGGTACTGTTGTAGAACAGGATCATGGATATTACTGTGTGCATTCTATTTAGACAGGTTGCTTGGATTGACATACTCAAGTAAAAAGGGGGAGATTGTAGATGCATCAAGGATGGGAATTAAGGATCAAAGAAGGATTCTTGTGCTACACAGGAGGACGAGCAGAGCTGAAGTCAACCTTCCACGTGTAGATGTAAATGAGTGTCTCGAGCCATGGGAACGCAATTGGGAGACATCGTGCAAACGTTGTTTCGGTTATCAAGAAAGTGATCTTATGCGAAAGTCAAAAAGCATAAGTCTGGTGCGTTGCACAGAGTGATGTGACAGGTGAAACAGTGACTCTCTGTGCAAGAACAATGGATTGTCTGCTGGTCCGAAGCATGCTCCTTCATAAATATTGGTTAATGAAAAACCAATATAACGTGGCGAGAGAAGCGTTTTTTCCAGTACTCCTTCTTGATGAAAAAAAATAGTTAGAGTGAGAGAGAGCTTACAGTGTGAATAACTCAAGAACAAACTAAGAGAGTTCATGTTGAGAGTTAACTATAAGATGTCGTGTGTTCTTGGGTAGGGAATGTAGAGAGTTTGTTCCACAGCGTTGTAAAATTGTGTTATCTGGTACTTTTGCAACAAGAGTTGCTTGTAGCTATGCTACGTTTGTATCAATAGAAGTGTTTTTAAGTGTGTTTTAAATTCCTTCGGTTGATTCTGGTATTTGTGTTTTCATATTGGGTTCTACTACATTTACACTTTCATATAACCGGCTTTTGTCGCATGCATTCATTTTGTTAGGTTGTGATGATCCGACTGGTTACATGCTAGAAACCGCTAGGTTGCATGAACGCTTGCATCCATTCGATCGGGTTAAGTTAATATTGCATTATCATTCCGTGATGCATGCTAGATCTATTTGGTCATTCGCATTCGACACATGCATTTAACCGGTTAGAAACGATGCTTAGGTTGTTTACCGTCTTATTTCACGTACTGAGCATATTGTCTAGTCGCAAGTTATTGTGTGCGTGAACCGGTTGCTTGATTGTATTATTGATTGCCGTTGTACGCTTGTTAAGGGTATAGACTTGTTGTGAAAGAATCATTGTGCTTGCCCTAGTTCGTAGTCATGATACGATGATGATCATTCTACCTAGTACATGCAATCTAGGGTGTTGTGTGTTGCCTGATCGTGAGTTAACCGTACCGCTTGTCTTGCTAAGTAACTCGTTGCTGCTTGTTGATACTTAGTCATATCATGCTTGTTGATTAAGGAACGGTTAATATTGTGTGATTGCATGTATGTCTACGCGCATTTGTTAGTCTTGTTTGGAACATGCTGTGAGAATGCACAGGTAATGCTGTGAGAGTGCACTAGTAATATTGCGAGAATGCACTGGTAATGCTGTGAGAGTGCACATGTATTGTATTACATGATAATTGTTAGCATGTAGTCGTAGAGCATACTTGTGAATGAGTTGTGAATGGCACTCCGACGTTTCCAGAAAGACGTGGTTATATGGCTAACCACGTAAGCGCAGAGGGTACTCGGGTCGCTCCCTTGGTCGTGCAGGCACGACGGTGCTGGAGTTCCGAGGTGTGGAACTGGGACTCGTCTGCCTTTGTGGTTGCGTTTCCTTGGGTTGCCCTGGAACGGCCGACGGGACTACAAGACCTTTGTATTGAGATCGAATCCGGAAATACATTCATGTAGGATGTGCATTGTAGAGAGTCTAAGTATTTGCC